CCCAGATATGTAAAGAAAATATTATTAGAGCTAAAGAGGGAGAGACTCCAACAGAATAACAGCTGGAGAACACCCCACTTTCAGCATTGATACATCATCCTGACAGAAAATTAGCAAGAAAACATCCGGCTTAATCTGCACTATAGACCAAATGAGCCTAATGTATATTTACAGGACATTTTATCCAATGACTGCAGAATACATATTCTCCTCAGTACATTGATCATTATCAAGGATGCACCATATGTCAAATCACAGAATAAGTCTTAAAACATTCAAAAAAAAAATGGGAAGTTATATCAAATATATTCTGTGACCACAATGGAACAAAACTAGAAATCATTAACAAGGGGAACTTTGAAAACTATACAATCATAAGGAAATTAGACAGTTCCTTAATGACCAATGGGTCAAAGAATAAATGAAAAAGGAAATTGAAAAATTCTTGAAACAAATGATAATGAAAACACAACATACTGAAACTTATGGGATACAGCTAAAGCAGTACTAAGAGACAAGTTTATAGCGATAATCACCTAAGTCAAAAATTAGAAAAACTTCAAATAAACTACTTAATTATGCTTCTTAAATAATTAGAAAGGCAAAAATAAAACAAACCCAATATTAGTAGAGAAAAAATAAGAAAGTTCAGAGTAGAAATAGGTGAATGTGAAAATAAGAAAACAATACAAAAAATCGATGAAAGAAAACACTGGCTTTTAGAAAAGATAAACAAAATTGAGAAAACTTTGGCCAGACTAACTAAGAAAGAAAAGAGAGAAGGCCCCAGAAAACAAAATCAGATGTGAAAATGAAGACTTTATAACTGATACTGCAGAAATCCAAAAGATCATCAGAGGCTAGTATGAGCAACTACATCCCAGTAAATTATAAATTATAGAAGTAATGCATAAGTTCTTAGACACTTAAACCTTCCACAAAATGAAGGATACAATCAACAAAGTGAACAGCCAACCCACAGTATGCGGGAAAATATTTGCAAACTATCCATCAGACAAGGAATCAATAACCAGAATATATGAGAAGCTTGAACAACTCTATAGGGAAAAAAATCTACTAATCTGACTAAAAAATACATTAAGATCTGAATAGACATTTCTCAAAAGAAGATATGCAAAGTGGTATATAAAAATATGTTCAACATCATTGATTATGAGAGAAATGCAAATAAAAACTAATGATATGTCATCTCACCCCAGTTAAAATGGGTTTTATCCAAAGGACAGAAAATCGCAAACACTGGCCAGCATGTGGAGAAAAGGGAACTCTTATACACTCTTGGCGGGAATGTAAATTAGTACAACCACTATGGAAAATAGTTTGGAAGTTCTTCAAAAAACTAAAAACAGGGCTACCATATGATCCCACAATCCCATTACTAGGTATATACCCAAAAGAAAAGAATTCAGTAACTACATCAAGGAGATTTCTACACCCTCATGTTATGGTAACACCATTCCCAATAGCCAAGATTTTGAAGCAACTGAAATGTCCACCAACAGACAAATGGATAAGGAGAATGTAGTATATATACACAATGGTGTACTATTCAGCCATAACAAAAGAATGAGATCCTGTCATTTACAACAACATGAATTGGACCGGTGGTCATTATGTTAAGTAAAATAAGCCAGGCACAGAAAGATAAACTTCACATATTCTCACTGATTTGTGAGAACTAAAAATTAAAACAAGTGAACTCATGGGGATAGACAGTAGAATGATTGGTTTCCAGAGGCTGAGAAGGGCAGTGGCTGGGAGTGAGGATAGTCAATGAGTACAAAAAGTAGTTGGAAAGAATGAATAAGATCTGGTATTTGATACCAGAACAGGATGACTATAGTCAACAATAATTTATTAAATATTTAAAAATAACTAAAAGTATAATTGGATTATTTGTAACACAAAGAAAGGATAAATGCCTGAGGTGATGAAAGTCCCATTTACCCTGATGTGATTATTATGCATTATATGCCTGTATCAAAATATCTTATTACCCCATAAAGACACTCAGTATGTACCCACAAAAAATAAAAGCTAAAAAATCAAAATGTCAAAAGCAAATATCTTATTTTTTACATATTTTTTCAAATCTTTTAGAAAATTCTAAACATATTTTATAATTTTTGTTGATGTCTCTGGATCATTATTATTAATTTTGAAAATTGTATTGTCCTGTAAAATATACTCTCAGAGACTTGTTAACAACTTGTTAGGCTATCTGATGTTATTTTTCTTCACACATGATGGCACCATGTACTGTGACCTTGGAGGGCATAATATTTGTTGATTTGTTGTTTGCTTACTTTCTGTCATAACGTTATTTCTCATCACATATTTTTAAGTCTGTCTATTTCAACTTTTGTTTCTTGATAAGAGGTTAGCAGTCCTTTTCTGCTAAGAGCCAGAGCGTAAATATATTAGGTTTTATGGACCATATAGCCTTTGTCACAATCATTTGACTCTGAGGTTGTAGCCTGAAACAGCATAGACAACAGAGAAACAAATGGTTATGGCTGTGTTCTAGTGAAACTTTATTTTCCAAAACAGGCAGTTTGTTGGATTTGTTGTGTGGGATATAGTTATAGTCTGTTGAGCATGGTGAAATAGCCTTGTAGAGTCACATGCAAAAAAGTAAATAGAATTTGTAAAAATGTAAACATATATTGCACTAGGACATAATGCAACCCTACAAACCGTGTAAAATTTATTGCTGCAATTTTATGACAGCATTTGTGGGTGGTTAGATGTCTTTCTTTTGTCCCATCTTTGCAACTTCTTTCAGTTGATATGGCAGATATTTGGGGTTATTGAATAAATGAGCTCTAGACATTTGGCAGATATTTGGGTTATTGAATAGATGAGCTCTAGAACACTTGCTTCATATGAATACATGTGTGTGTATGTTTATGTATCTCAGATATAGCTAAATTCATTGTACCAATTAATTAAGACCTAGCTAAGATTGGCTTTAGCTCCATTCTATGAATTTTAAGGAGATCAATATTGTCTACCCCAACCACCACCAAGTTGTATGCAAATTTTCAGTGTGAGTTTATGTTTTCATGGTCTTCTCTGGCTCTGAATTCTGCTTCTGTAAAATTACTTCATTTTAGAGATTGTCCAGCTATCCTCGTTCTTGGAAAAAGTCTCAGCCATTTCTATACCTCACACTGCAGCCTCTTACCATTGTTTTCAGTTTTCCTTAGTCCCTTCCAGATGGCTCACAGGAGCTCCAAATTCTTCACGCTTTGTTCTGCAGATTAATTCCATTTTCTCCAGGCTTACTCTCAGATTTCTTTCTGATTCCTCTGTGGATTTTCTTATCTACCAAGATGCTTTGCTGAAGAAAGAGGACCTGTTCTCCTTAATTGAACTATCTTCTTAAGAAATTTTTCCCCATGGATATATGGATGAAAGATTGGGTGGATAGATGGCTAGTGAGATATTATACAATACTGTATATTAGGATAGCTACTTCATATAAAGACTAGTACCCAATATGGAAAACCTATTTTTGGCTTATTATAGTTGATTTTGTGATCTAGATATTTTTAGCATTAATCTTCAAATCCCCTGCCATAGCCAAAACACACCTTATATATTATTTTTGCTATTATCTATAGGAAGCATTTTATTCCTTTCTTGTTTCATTTTATAAAATATCCTAATCATGATTTTATTACAAAAAGTGTCAGAAATATCACTTCATATTATAGTCAACTAAATTGTAGAAATAAAATATAAGATTATAAACTGTGTAAGGTAAAAGTTAGACTTGAACTCAAAGTATCCACTGAAACTTACAATAGTAAGGTGGTATTTCTATTTGGAGAAATGTCCCCAAATCTCCAATATTAGAAAAATAATAGTTTTTTCTCTTTTTTTGAGATGGAGTAGTCTCTCTCTGTTGTCAGACTGAAGTGCAGTGGCACAATCTTGGCTCACTGCAACCTCGGCTTCCCGGGTTCAAGTGATTCTCCTGCCTCAGCCTCCCAAGTAGCTGGGATTACAAGCACACACCACCACGCTCAGCTAATTTTTGTGTTTTTAGAAGAGATGGGATTTCAGGATCTTGGCCAGGCTAGTCTTGAACTCCTGACCTCGTGATCCAACCACTTCTGCCTCCCAAAGTGCAGGGATTACAGGTGTGAGCCACTACGCCTGGCCAGAAAATAGTTCTTATATTATTGTTATTATTAATAACAATATAAATTGTTTAGAACAATAATAAATTGTTCTAAAATATGTAATATAAATGATTTTATCCACAATTAGTATTATTCAGTCATATAAGAAATTATCAGCCACTCTTAATTGTCTGCAAAGAGCACTGCAAAGAACATCAAATAAAAAGATACATTTTTAATAGACTAAAGAGCATGGGAGCTGATGCCTGTAATCCTAGTGTTTTGGGAGGCCAAGGCGGGCAGATCTTTTGAGGTCAGGAGTTAACAGTACCAGTCTGGCCAACATTGTGAAACCCCATCTTTTCTAAAAATACAAAAATTAGTCAGGCATGGTGGCATGCACCTGTAATCCCAGCTACTTGGGAGGCTGAGACACGAGAATCTCTTGAACCTGGGAGGCAGAGGTTGCAGTGAGGCAAGATCACAGCACTGTGTTCCAGCCTGGGCGATAGAGACTCCATCCAAAAATAAAATAAAATAAAATAAAATAAAATAAAATAAAAATAAAGAGCTTACAATCTGCTTTTGCTTCTACAAGTGATAGAAATATTATTAAAGGATTAGAAAAATTCGAGAGTGTAATGTCTAAGTTAATTTTTTAAAAACTCACATTTCCTGAGCACTCCAGTAACCTAAAACCGGCTTCTTTGAAGTTTTCTCAGTATGTTGAGCTTGAATGGAAAGCTAGCAACTTTACTACTTGTGCTTTTTTCTTAGAATCACTACAAAATATTTGACCAGAAAAAATACATTCTGAATAAAATTAGTTTTTTTAAAAAATCAAACCTGATCTTTTTGTAGTTGATAAGCATGATGGTTGAGTGTTCACATGCATATGTGAGATGTGCCACCCTTGAATGATGTCAGGACAACAGTACATTACCCATCTGATATGAAAAATAAAAACCTGTCATCTTATAAAAATAAATAAAGAGGAATAGAGATGGGACACTGGATGCTTCGGGTTTGCTTTGTCGACATTTATGTTTTCAAGCAGGCTTGCTTCATCCAATTTATATATTCTTTTGAGGAAAAATACACTAACAGGAATGACAGTATGCGATACAAATCAGACACAGAGCTGTTCCCTATGGACTTTCAAGCCTACAGAGAGAAGTATGCATGCAGACAACAGAGGAAAATGAGGTGCTTCTGACTTCAGGCTTTATGGAAGAGTTGACCTTTGGACTGGCCCATGATCAACTTTACTAAACTAGAAGAGGCACAGAGGGCATTTTTGGCTAAGGAAAGAAAATGAACAAAGGTTCAAAATTTCAAAAGTCTATGTCAAAGTAAAGCAAGTGCAGGCTTACATTTTACTTTCTTTAATTTCTAAATTCAAGAAGCTTTGAAAACCATTATGCATATGTTGTTTTTCCGTAAGGTACACCCTGACCTGAATTGACAGGAGGCTATTTGTAATCTTTATTTATCCCACTTATAAGACTATTTATAGATTTTACTGAAGAAATATCAATGTGTTTCATTACAGGTGCAGCCCCAACATACATGGATTTGGCTAATGTGTTATACATTAACTGTATAACTTTTTTAAAAAAATCACCTTGTTCCCCAAAATCCTGAATTACAAAACACACCTGGCCCCAGGTGTTTCTGCTAAGAGATTGTAGACGTGAAGTAATTATGGGAGAAGTGATATTGTAGAAACGATGTCCAGAAAGCTAGGTGAAGACTGTGCAAGTTCTTGAAAACCAAGTTACAGATTTTGGTAATTTGACTTTAGGCTGTAAGGAACCATTATGTGCTTTTGAAGAAGAAGTGAAGTATTCAACCATACTTTATAAAAATTGGATTGATTCCCTGAGCACATGCTATTTAAAATTTTTTCTCCAAATGATTACAAAAACTGTAAGATGATGTCAGATGAAATGTCTTTTGAGAATAGATATTTACATCCATCATTTGTTTTCTTGTGATGGTGTGTATGAGAAATGAAGTCAGAGAAACCACTTTCAGATTGTGTTTGAAGCTTGCTAAATGTCATGCCACATAAATATGGTCAGAGTTTGGATGTTCCCAAATGACTGTGCATTGAAAATACAAGAGTTGCTTCATAGAAGAAAAAAATAACAAGCAAAAAACTATAAGAAGCAGTAATTTATTTCATATTTGGTCATGTTCCTTGCTAAAAATACCTGACGGCAAATGCAGATAATTTGTTTATCAGATAACTTGTATATCAGGAACAAAACAGATAATTTGTTTTTGATTAGGTTAATAAAATTAACTGAGAAATTAAAAATGTTATTGTCATTGTGTGTACAGTGTATGTGAGTCACTCACAGTGAGTCTTTACACTCTGCCTTTAAAAACAAGCATCAAAAGTTTGGTACAAAATCAATATTCACAAGTCAGTAGCACTGCTAAACACCAACAATTAACAAGTGGAGAATCAAATCAAGAACTCAATCCCTTTTAAAACAGCTACAAAAAATAAATAAAATAAAATACATAAGAATATACTTAATCAAGGATGTGAAAGATCTCTACAAGGAAAACTACAAAACAATGTTGAAAGATATCATAGATGACACAAACAAATGGAAAGACAACCCATGCTCATAAATGGGAAGAATCGATATGATGAAAATGACCATACTGCTCAAAGCAATCTACAGATTTAGTGCAATCCCCATCAAAATGTCATCAGCATTCTTCACAGAACGAGAAAAAAAATTCCTAAAATTCATACGGAACCAAAAAAGAGCCCACACAGCCAAAGCAATACTAAGAAAAAGAACAAATCTGGAGGTATCACCTTACCCAACTTCAAATTACACTACAAGAAGTATAATTACCCAAACAGCATGGTGCTGGTATAACAATAGGCATGTAGACCAATGGAACAGAGTAAGAACCCAGAAATTAAGCCAAAGGCTTACAGCCAATTGATCTTCAACAAAGTCTACAAAAAACATAAATTGGGGAAAGGACACCTATTCAATAAATATTGCTGGGAAAACTAGGAAGCCACATGTAGAAGAATGAAACTAGATCCTCATCTTTCCCCTTATACAAAAATTAACTAAAAATGTGTCATAGACTTGCGTCTATGGCCTGAAACCATAAAAATTGTAGAAGATAACATTGGTAAAACTCTTCTAGATAAGACATTGGCTTAGGGAAAGAATTCATGACTAAGACCTCAAAAGCAAATGCAACAAAAACAAAAGTAAATAAATGTAATCTAATTAAACTAGAAAGCTTCTGCATGGCAAAAGAAATATTCAGCAAAGTAAACAGACAACCCACAGAGTGGGAGGAGAAAATATTCACAAACTATGCACCTGACAAAGGACTAATATCTAGAATCTACAAGGAACTGAACCAAATTAGCAAGAAAGAAGCAAATAATCCCATCCAAAAATGGGCAAATGACATGAATAGACAATTCTCAAAATAAGATAAACAGTCAATAAACATGAAAAAATGCTCAACATCACTAATTTTCAGGGAAATGCAAAGTAAAATCACAATGAGATACCACCTTACTTCTGCAAGAATGACTATAATTAAAAGTATAAAAACAATAAATGTTGCAATGGATGTGGTAAAAAGGGAACACTTTTGTACTTTTATTCTGTTGGTGGGAATGTAAATGGTACAACCTATGGAAAACAGTTTGGAGATTCCTTAAAAAACTGACAGTAGAACTACCATACAATTCAGCAATCCCACTACTGGATATCTACCCAAAGGAAAAGAAGCCATTATATGAAAAAGACACATGCACACGTTTGTAGCAGCACAATTCACAATTGCAAAGATGTAGAGCCAGCCTAAGTGTCCATTAACTAATGAGTGGATAAAGAGCATGTAGTATATATACACAATGGAAAACTACTCAGCCATAAATAGAAATGAAATAATGTCTTTTGCAGCAACTTGGATGGAGCTGGAGGCCATTATCCTAAATGAAGTGCCTCAGGAATGAAAAGGTCAAATACCGTATGTTCTCATGTATAAGTGGGAACTAAGCTATGAGCATGCAAAGCCATAAGTATGATATAATCAACTCTGGGGTTTTCAGGGGAATGGTTTGAAGGAGAATGCAGGATAAAAGACCATATACTGGGTACAATGTACGTACATTGCTTGGGTGACAGGTGCATTAAAATTTGAGAAATTACAACTGAAGAACATATCCATGTAATCAAAACCACCTGTCCTCCAAAAACTATTGAAATAAAAATAGAAGTGTATTCACAAAAACATTTGGGAATTAGAAAATTGACTCTAGGAATGTATCCATCTCTGTTTTTCTTTCTTAGACTATCTGCATAGTCAGCTAATTTTGCTTTCTGTAAGCTTGTAATAAGTATTTCTGAGACCTCAGGATTAAGAGCACATTTTTTTAAACAATTTTTGAAATGTCATTCAAAATTTCAAAAAACAAACAAATGGAAAGACATCCCATGCTCATAAATGGAAATAATCAATATAGTGAAAATGGCCATACTGTCCAAAGCAATGTACATTCAGTGCAATCCCCAATAAAATGTCATCAGCATTCTTCACAGAACTAGAAAAACAAATTCTAAAATTCATATGGAACCAAAAAAGAGCCCATACAGCCAATTAATACTAAGAAAAAAGAACAAATCTGATGGCATCACCTTACCCAACTTCAACTACAAGACTATAGTTACCAAAACAACATGGTGCTGAAATAAAAATAGACATGTAGACCAATGGAACAGAATACAGAACCCAAAAATAAAACCAAATTCTTGCAACAAACTGATCTTCAACAAAGCATACAGAAACATAAATTGGGGAAAGAGCACCCTATTCAATAAATGTTGAAATATACCAATACATGGTCTGGAAGCACATGTAGGCATATTTAATAAAACTTAGAATTGGTATATATTTCAAGAAGAGTATTTGGTATCTACCTCAGCAAAATCACTTAACCTGCTTCTTAGAAGTGGAATTCTAATCCTTGAAAGTCTGTGCAAAGAAAATCAGAAAGTTCCATCTAATTCATGGCTTATGGTTTTCCAGAAATTTCTGCATTTGACTTCAGAAGAACCGAGAATAATAATATTTATAAATACTATATACCTCTCACTAGAGCCCAAGGATGAAGAACATGTATTTGGTTATAGAAGTATTTTTTGATACTGTAACCTCAACAATCATATTCTATTTGATGTTCTTAGAAGATTTTTAAAAAATCACTTATAAAGATAAGACGATGCTGATATTTTTAAAGCAATATTCATTTGATTTAAAAATATTTGATAATACTTTTAGAAAATATGACAATATAGAAGTGCAGTAATAAGAATCGCCCTATTGATAATATTTATTGAGTTTTTTGAGGTCCTATTGGCATTGTACCTTACATTTTACATACATTATCTCAGTTAAGCTTTACCCTGTTATATACCATTTTTCACATTTTATATAAATAGATACTGATGTCTAGAGAGGTTAAGTGAACGGCACAAAGTTATATGGCGGTAGGTGGTAGAGCAGAAGTCAGGCCCAGGAAGTTCAATTTCAGAATGCATGCTCTGGGCAGCTATACTTCCTGCTTCCCCTCAATTGCCAACAACCACCAAAATGGTCACTGAGAAATAACTACTGTTATATTTTTGTGTATATGCTTTCAATATTTTGCCATATATGTATATTTCAATATGTAAATGAAATAAGGCAGACTATTTTTTCACCTTTAATGTTGGCTTTTTGCTCATCAAACTTATTAATAACTAAAAAAAAATGGCAAAGGAGTGATTTTAGTATATTCTAATCCAGAATGTAGGTGTAATGCTGAGTGTCTACATAAGACCATGGATTAAAAACAACAAACAAAAAAGCACTATCCAAATAAGCTGCCATCAGGCTAACACCTCTTCCTAAG